GCTCAGCCGCTCAGCCCATGGGCAGGGGCTCTCGACTAGGGTCTGCAGGGCCACAGCAGGCGTCATGGAGGTCTGTGTAGGTGTCCACCAGCCCTGCTGCAGCTAGCCAGCCTTGGCAGTGCTCATGGGGAGGGCCTGGTCTTTCTAGGCTCTAACACCTGCTTCTGTTTGTACTGTAGAAACTGGTGGGTCTTTATTCTAATCTTGCTCTTAGCCTATAGGAAATTTCCTTATTTCTCATCCACTTTCCACCCTGGTTTGTACCACCCTGGGTGGGAAGGGGAGAGAAAGAAAGATAGTAAGTTAAAGAATCAATGAGAGATGAGAGGAGACTGGAATGAAGAAGGAAAGCAACATTGCTTCTGGACACATCTGTTACAATTTGATGTGCAGAGAGGCCAATAGACCCTCAGTCCTTAACTGTGACTGTATCCTGACCATCACCAAGCATGTTTCAGTAAACAAGCAAGAGCAGGTTCCTTGAGTTAACTAACTAGTCAACTTCCAGAGAGCCCCCTTTCAGCTCCCCTTTCTGTAAAACTTACTGTCCACCCTTCCCAAGTCCACTGTACTTGAGACACTAAAAAGCACTGGCCTTGCTTTTACCATCCCTAATATCTTTTTTTTAAGTCTTATTTCCAGTATATATGTCAGTCAGCTTGTGTTGTATATTGCTGAACTTAAACTTTTTCAAATTTAGAAACTGATACACATTCGGTAACTGTGTGCAAATTCCTTGTGTGTCTCAGGGACTCCACTTCCCTGTACCTGGATCAACCTGCACTTGCTGGAGGGTGCCATGCTGCCTCAGTGCTGCTCTGTCAGGCTTGGGAGGCCTGAGGGCAGTTTAGAACCCATGGTCTTTACCAGGGAGGAACTTAACTGTTCCTTGCAAAAACGAAACTAAGATACAAAGATGACCCAGGAAAATTAACCTTAATTCATGTGTTTTATTTCACTTTATTGAGAAGTGTGAATCACTCCTCTTTTTATTTTTCTCTGTTATTTTTTATGGACAGTATAGATCAATAAGTATTCATTTCTGAAACCTAACTACTTTCATAAGTGCTTAGAAAGCATTAAGACAGTCACAATATATGTTTACCTTTGAATATGTGAAGGCTTTTCAGTTTAGACTTTTCATCTAAGCTGGGTGGTTTTTCTTTTCATGTTGCCACATTTGTCCTGGCATCTCTTTCTGACTACCAGAATGAATAGTCTAAATTCTGATTGCCATTTCTTCATGAGTCGCCTTCCAACCGCAGTTTTCTACTGAGGCTGCTACTCAGCCCATAAGTGACCTCCTCGCCGCTGAAGCAGTGGCTCCATTTCAATTAAATGATCTTTCTGTTTGACTTGACACCAATAACTACTCGTTTTCATCTTCTTGAAACCCTTCTCTACTTGCTATGATACCAGTCTTTCCCATTTTATTTTTTCTGGTGGTCTCTGTCATTGCCCCTTCTAAATCATCTTTCTAGATTCCTCTTCTCTATTTAAAAAATATTGGAACTCTCCAGTGTTTGTTTCACAACCCCAGTGTATCTCTCTTGGCTCAGATCTCTTTGCTTAGCTCCCGACCTATGTTCAGCCACTTACTGGACATCTTTTAAAGTATGGCTGTTCCTGACCCCCATATCCAGTCATGTACTTAACCATATCTAATGTACCACCTTAACAGCTCTCCAAACTGTCCTCTCCTCTCTATCCACACTACTGGCAGTACTGCCAGAGGGTTCTTGTCCTGGTGTCTGCTCAGTGCCTCTGGCTTTCCTTGAGCTCTGCCATGCCCTGTGGAACAAACAGTCTGTAAGATCAAAGAGCAGTACCTCCCTGCCAAGTAACTTCTACTACACCAGACCCTAGAAATTCCTGCAGTAGACCTCTTTCCCAGATCAGTTCATCAGGAGTGGACTCCATCCCTGGGAGAGTTAAGGGAAGCTGTTTGGAAGAGGATAGATGGAGTAGGGTGGAGTTGCACCTTCAGATCTGCATGCATACTAATGAAGCCACTAGTGTCATAGACAAGAGCCAGAGGTAAGAAGAGCAGAAGCACATACATGGACCTCCATTGGTATTCTTGTCACAGGCCACAAAGGCCTGAGGGGTAGAACTAATGATTACCTTGGTTCTTTTTATATTTCTGGTACTATGCTGGTAGGTGACTCTTTCACCTACTTTAGGGATTCTTGAGGATACAGGCTTTAGCTTTTTAGTTTTATATTCCTGTCTATCCATGCCTATCACATTGCCTACCCATAAGCAATTACAACAAAATACATGTTAAATGCATTTAATAGCACAACTTGTACTGAACAATTTATAACTATTTCACTCCATTGTCATTTTAAAGCATTAATGGCAATATTAGATTTTATTTCAATGTAGGACCAGCATTTCCCAGAAAAAAAAAATCTCTGATATTATATTGCCATTCCATTAAATGGGAAAATTAGTTTTTGTACATAAAATTGAAATTTATTTTTAAATATATGTGTACAAGCAAATTAATTTCATAAAGCTGGGTAAGTAAATGGTAAGTGACAAAATCATTTCAGGGGAACATGAAAATCTTGATAATACAGATTAGTGTCATAGTTGCCAGGACAGCTATGCTTGTAATTAGTAATACTAAAACTGCTGAACCCTGAAACTCTAGGATACAGTATAAGAATAAGTTCTAGAAAACTTAAAAGATGCTGAGAAGACCAGGGCTAAGGCCCCCTGACATGTTTCCCGTGAATTCAGTGGGTACCCCCAAGGTCCTATGGACCCTAATTATTCTATTAAGCCTATTTGTGAGGAGTATATGTTTGTATGTATTGTGTATGATGACTTCTGTGTAAAAGGCACATAGTTCAGAAAAAGACAAACTTGTAGGCAGACCATAGATCTCAGGCATACCTCAGGGGAAGAGAGGAAGAGGGAAAGAAAGAATATAAGGGATCATGGTGATGGGTAATGTGGTAGTAGGAGATTTATAGGGATCACACCAAAGGAGAGAAATCAATATTGTACAAAAATGAACAACGATGTAAGAAAATAAAGCTTAAAAATAATAATTAAAAACTTAAAAATAAATAAAAGGCTCATAGTATTTTTAAGTAAATTTTTAAATGACCAAGTCAGTTTAATTCCTGAGAGTTTTCACTATAATAATTCATGTTCTGGGTTTCACCTACACACAAGTCCAGAGACCTTGTAGATTTTAGAGTTCATCTGAAATACCACTAGTGCTGCTTTGGATGCTGTGCCAGTATATGTACAGTATTGTAATGAGAAATATTTTTATCTGAGAATCAAGTAAGCTGCACTTGAGTGATCCTTATATTATTATAACTCATGTGTTTTATGACTATAGTTTGCTGCTTAGAAAATAACCTCTTCGTGATTCCTCTGAGAGGCAGCAAAGTTAAATCATGGCAGTAATTTGATTTTTATATCTAAATTGTCAGAATTTGTGCTTTTTTTTAAAATCTATTTCTTTGTTTTGTTTTGATGTTGATAGATTATTCCATGTTCTCATTCTCTTAAGGTTTTAGGCATAATAAAATTTACTCATTCCAACTCTTTTCCTAGATGAGATTAGTCTTTCAGGAACACCTCATTAAAATTATTAAAAATGGAAACACTTACCTTTATGATCTGTCATGCACTGATTGTTATGCCATCATGATTCACAATTAAAACCACTAAGTGACATTGTTTCAAGAATATTTCTATGATAAAATTGCTGTGTACCATCGTGGGACTCATTGTCTTACGCAGGAGGTATTTGGTTTCATAAATAGTTTAAATTGTCTGTGTCATCTAGGAAATAATTCTCTTTATATGAGAAAATTTGTTTTTAGTTTTCTTAATTTAGAAGCATTAGTTTTGCTTGGCTCTATTTTGCCTTCAGATACATTTTTGAACAGTCCCGAAGAGTTGAGCAGGCCTGATTCAGATATTTCACTTCCCACTCACTTATACTTCTTGTTAGGGACCTGCCTCTTTCCCCTATGCTTGATTATTTAAAAACCTTTTTCTAAATGACCTCAGGTAGCAACATTTTTAAAAAAGAGAGTTTGACAGTCACATGACCCAGCTGGTGCTGGAAACTTCAAACTACTCAGGGAAAATGTAGTGTTCCCTCCCTTTCTTCCACTTCCATGGTGAAAGAGATAGACTTGACTCCCTTTCCTGTTGATGCTTTTTGGGCTTCTTTCTTTCTCCTTCCAAGGCTATTCTTGAATGTGAATGTGTTTGGTGATGGTGGAAGGAACAATGATGGAGGTATGTTCAGCAAGGAATCGAGTACTAAATAGAATACTGAGAAAACATGAGCATCAAAACAAGTAAAATGAAGACAAAAAAACTACTCTATACTGTTAGAATTAAAGTCACAGTTGAATGTTAGAATTGGAAGGAACCAAGTGAACCACCAGTTACAGTGTCTTAACAAAGATACATTGCTAGGTAGAACCCAGGTCTTCTGATTCTTGACCAATTTCCTTTTGTTGGAGGAAAATGTAATGACTTTGTTTCCTGTCAGCTGACACAGAGTAGGCATTATATTCTGAGTTCAGCTGTGTTGTTTATAAGGCTGGGGGCACTTTTTAGGTTTGTATTAGTGGCAATTTTATAGGAAGAATATGGACTTTCAAGTCAGATCTGGGTCTAAGTCTCCACTTAGTACTTGGTCAAGTTTCTCAATTTCCTAAGTAATAAATAGGGAAAACAATAGCTACCACCTCGTATTGTCATGGCAAATGAAACAGGGTTTTAGGAAATAGAAGCCTCTGATTTGTGCTAAATGTGAAATGAGTAAGGAATAACTAGTACCTCATTTGATCTCCCTCAAAGACAAGTCACTGTACTTCAATTTTCAGATATGTTCTTCCTCAATATGTATACATATTGCCATAGTTCAGCTGCTGTTTAGCTAGCTTTGTGTGTGTGTCTGTCTAAGAAGTCTTCTACATCAGCTACCTCACAGTCTTTCATTTTTTAAATTGCAGACTAATCCACGGAGGGCAGCTGTTAAACGGATTGGCAGGCCCAACTGTCATGAATGCAGCACCATTCCTCTCCACAACGTGGTTCTCTGCAGACGAGAGGGCCACCGCCACTGCGATTGCGTCAATGCTCAGCTATCTTGGGGGAGCATGTGCATTTTTAGTTGGGCCACTTGTCGTTCCAGCACCCAATGGATCAGCACCTCTTCTTACTTCAGAGAGTAGCAGGACCCACATTAAAGATCTCATAGAGACTGTATTGTATGCAGGTATCTTGAAGTTTATTTTCTTTCTTTTGTACTTTTTTTTTTTTTTAAGATTTATTTATTTATGCATACAGGCCAGAAGTGCCGGGGGGAGGGGGGGGTGAGAGGATTTACCAGAGACAGAGTGGGAAGCAGAATAGGCAGTTTGAGAAAGTACACTGCTGAGGGGAGCAGTGGGTGAGACAGGGAAGGTCTGCTGTGCTGTGGAGGTCACCTCCCAAGCTGGGGATTGAACTCGCACTGAAGCCTCTATGACTAGCTTGCAATGCTGCGTCCTAACCCACTGCATCACCAGGGAGGGCCCTGTACTTTGTCTTTTATCCTAGTCATCTTTATTTTTTTATACACCAGATCACATTGTACGAAATACTTAGAGGACTAATAAATACCTATGCATATATGTGCTTTTTTGTAATATGGAAATGCCTACTTAAAGTTTATCCTTTCTAGGAAGTTATTTAAAACGTATTAATATGACATGGAAAATTATTGCTTAATTTTTTACTCTTCCCATTTATTTACTGTTAAAACACTGTATAACATGTTGTCCAGTGTTTTTTTCCCCTAGATATTTTGTCAATAAAACTAAGATTTGTAAATAAAACTAAGATTAAATATCCTGATCAGCAATAAACATTTACTAAGCATCTATCATAGCCATTAAGTCCATTTTCTCCATTGCACTTCCCACATCATTGGCCATGTTCTCTCACCTTATAGCCCTAGGTTCCCCACTATTTATCATTCTCTTCCTATTCTCTGTATGTTTAATCTGTTAAGAAGGGGTGTTAGTTCCAAAACATTCTCTTGGATCTTTTCTCATTATTTCTTTAGTTAAGCCATCTTCCACTCTTACATTCCATTCTCATAGAGCTCTTAAATACTCCCCATATGCCCTTTTATTATTTCCTCTTGCATTCCGAAAACTTTCTGTGTGTGTTATATATGTGTTGTATACAGGCCCTGTTCTAAGTAAAGTCATTGGTAAAATCACTGAGGTATGTGGAACTTGTCAGGAAGGCTTCACAAAGGATGTGATAATTAAACAGTTTGGATTTTCATAGCAACTCAATGAGTATTCAGAGGAATTTAGGTATTCTGTATGGAAGGAGAAACAACTGCAAAGGCAGGGGAGGTATGAGTTCAATATGTCTAGGATACTGCACGTCATTTGGTGTGGCTACATAGTGAAAATGTGTGTTTGGGTATAGGTAGCAAGTGGCAGAAAGTGAGATTATGATGAACTTTACAGTAATTAATTTATTCAGTTATTAATTCAGCAAATATATATTTAACTCCTTTGGATCTCTCACTCTGCAAGTCACTGAGGTAGGCATGTTCCCTGCCCTCACAAAACTTAGTGTCCCAAAGAAAAAAAATAAGCAAAACTGGGTGCCATGTGCTATACCCAAAGGCTCACAGTTTCTCTGAGAACTTAAGAGGGGGAGCACCTAGTCCAAATTTGGGACTGAACTTGAGCTTTGGACTTGCAGTATCTAAATTGAAACCTAAGGGTGAAAGTTAGCCAAATACAGTGGACAAGAGAAAGAGTATTCTAAAGAGAGCCATGGAGAAGCTTAGCAAGGGGAGCGAGCCTGGTATATTCAAGCTTAGACCTGCCCTGCCATGCTGGGTGGCTTAGATCTGGTGCCAGTAGTGGTGGTGAAGTGAGAGAGGGGTGGTGGGTCCTGCACACCTGCTGGGCAGGGCTGAAGAGTATGGAGGTTCAGTGCAGTGTGGGCAGAGGCCAAACTGAAGAATTTTATACTAGAGAGTTTTATAATGAAATTTACATTTGAAATACAGGTTTAGAGGGCATGAAAGTGAGAACTGAAATGGTAGAGATAGATAGAGCATTCTTTACAAGCAACTTGCTTAAAGAAAAAATATATTGAACTGTAAACAAAAGTAAATAAAAAACTGACAGTAGGTCAAACAAAAAATTTAAACTTTGTTTTAAAAGGTTATATATATTTTTTTAAAACTTAAACAATGGTTGTATCTTTTGAATAACTGGAATTTGGGCCTATACGTCATATCATGATGCTCTACATTCTTCTGGCTCATGGTTCCCATGTAGTCAAACAGAAGCCACTACTCGAGATTCCCAGTTACTACCTCAGGGCTTCTATACTTGCCAATCTTCCTTCCTAAAATATTGTTCCATACCCTTCTTTCCATTAAGATTTTTTTGCTAGCATTATTACCTTAAAAGATTAATGATTCTTGAAGACATCATAGGAAAAGTGAGCTATATTCCAAAACAGTAGCAAACCAATTCCAGCTATATGTAACATGAGGAAGGCAATCACAGAAAAGTGATACGGTGGCCACTGTGCATATGGAAGCTGCTCATTCATTGCTATCAATAATTAAAATAACCAAATTAACACAGCTTGTTGCTTTTCAGATTGACAGTGAATAGACATCTGTGTTTAAGAGTCTTACCTGAATATTGTAATTTTGCTAAGAATATAACCCTAGAATTAGAATCATTCCAATGTAAGGACCTCTAGAAATCACTTATTTCCAAAAGAGGAAGGAATTTGTTCAGGTTACAAGTTAATCAATGGCACGGGCAGGTACCTACCCACATTTCCTGACTTTTCTGTTGGCGCTGTGCTTTTCTACCAAATTGGGTCCAGTTAAGAAAAGCTGGGGCTTCCAAGTGCCAGGATTCCAGAGGGAATGACTGGCACTCCTTGGAACCCTCCCTTCTGTAATGGTCCACGCTGAGATTGTTTTGATGTTCACTTTACCTCTGATTGTGTATCATTCTTGTGTTGATCCATATTGCACTCTGTCTTTTGGTTTCTTATTTTTGGATGTTTTCCTGTTTTGCTCAAATTCTCCAAAACCCATAAATAGTATGTCCTACTCTATGCCTGAGGATATTTTGTCATTGCTAAACCATCAGCCCAAACCTGTTTCAAAATCTTTTGTGTAATATCTTTTCTCCATGGGGTAGCATTTGTTTACAGCTCAGTCTTTTTCCCTGCAAGAATACCATGGTACCACCATATTTCTTTGCTTATCGTATGGTTTCTTACTTACAGTCTACTGAAATTTTTATCTCTACAATCTGTCATTCTCACAAAACCCAGCTATCTTGTTTTTCCTTGAATGTATATGCCTAGAGCTTAGTTGATGCTCAGTAAATATTTGTCAGATAAATACTTGAAATATTAAACTTAGTGTGTTGTGTGGTGAACATTTTACTATTTATTTTCTTTTCCCCCTAGAATTTGGATTTGTCTGCGTATTATTTTCTGCAACTCTAGCTTACTTCCCACCCCGACCTCCACTTCCTCCCAGTGTTGCTGCAGCTAGCCAGCGGCTGAGTTATCGACGGAGCTTCTGTCGATTACTAAGGTAAATAGACTTGGTCATCAAGTGGTTTCGAATAGCACCTTCAAGATAAATTCACACTTATTTATATTGTGTACAGTGTTAGCATAGCTATGATAGCTATGTAACATTATTTCTCAAACTTCTTTCTTTTTAAACAAAGCAAATTAGAAAATACTGTATCACATAATGGTAAAGATACATATTTTTTGTGAGACTTTAGTTTCAGTTATATATGGACATATATATGGTGGGTCATAAAGTGAAACTATATTTCTATTGTTTTTAATAATATAAAAGTTTATTCTTACATCATTTTGTGTATTTTTTCATCTCAGTTGTAATCCCCGAAAACTGTATTTCTTAACTCTGGTATACAAGTAAAAAGTTTTTGAAAACTGATTTCTTTATAGCACCTAGGTACATTGACTTACACATAAAAGGCAAAGAAAATGTTAGTTAAGTTGAATTATGATGACTGGCACACATTTATAAAGTGGCAATTTAAAATATATGTTTTTTTAAAAATGCTATTTAATGGAGTTTTTCTCTATACAGAGTCAGAGGTTAGATGGTGCTAAGATTAGTGAGGTAGGTTAGGGTCATATTATGCCATCCTAATAATTTGAAACTCTAATATGGGAAATGAGAGGTCATTTGAAGGATATTAAGTTAAGGAATTAGGACAAGGAAAAGCAATTTAAAAGTATCACTCTAACTACAATGTGTTTAGTGTTTGCTTCTAAGTCACTAGTATCAAAGTAGTCTCTGTTTAAACCATAAAATATAAATTCTTTCTTCTCTATAAAAAGCCCTTGCACCAGCACCTGACTTTCCTTTGCTTCTTCCCTTGTTTATCTGCATACCCTGTCAGACTGCCTGCTCTAAAAAGGAGTTTTTGAGCCTGCCTTGCTTCATTTTCGCTGGTCCTTCAAAGAACTCCTGAAATTATTACTTCCTGTATTAATTAGAATAACTGCTTCACAGGCCCTCCCTGGTGGTGCAGCAGGTCAGGGCAAAGCACCATGAAGCTACCACAGCCACTGTACCATGAGTTCAATCCCTAGCCAGGGAGGTGACCCACATAGCAGAGCAGACCTCTCAGGACCCATCTGCTGCTCCCCTCAGCAGTGTATTTCAGTACATCTACCTGCTCTGCTCCTCACTCTGTCTCTGGTGAATCCTCCACGTCCCCACCTCCCACCCCCCACACACCTCTGGCCTATCCCCTAGCTCTTGTATGCATAAATAAATAAATTTTTTTTTAATTTTAAAAAGAATAACTGCTTTACAATCTAATTCCATTATCTATAACCCACCCCACCCCAAAAAATCATTCATTACACTCCAAAATTTCTACCAGTTATTTACTTTACTTTCTATATGATCCCATCTCTTAATAAGCATTTCAACTATTGTGTATTGTGTGTGTAACTAAATGTAAACATTTCTCCCCGTTCACATAATGGTTTAATGTTTGGTGCTAGCTGTTGTTCTTTTTTGCCTTTTAAAAAGAAGTTAAACATGTTCTGTACTTCAGACACATGAGCACATTTATTCATTTATCTGTTTATTATTTTTTGGTGTATTTTCCACTCCCATATTCTTCCCCTTACCCCAGCCATCTCTAAAATGCATGAAAGGTGTATATCTTTCCATTTTTGCCATGTGTATTTCTTTGTATACATCTAAGTTTAATTCATCTAAATGACATGTATCTTTTTCTGTTTGACTTAATACCACTAAGCACTGTGGCTATTAAAATAACTTTTCATTTTAAAAAGTTATAGGAGTATACAGGAGTATAATAATACAATGTCCATATTCCTATCACCCAATATCAAGTTACCAGTTTATAGCCAATCTTGTTTCATCTCTGCTTCCCCCCTTTCTGAATCATGAACAAATCCCAGATGACATATTATTCCATCCATAAATATTTCAGTATATGTAATATAGGTTTAAAAGATAGGTAAATTTTCAGTTGTTTTGCAAATGTCAAAGAAATTTTTTTTAAGATTTATTTATCTATGCATAGAAGAACTGGGGTACAGGCCAGAGATAAGGGGTGTGAGCAGAACAGCAAGATTGACTGAAGCACACTGCTGAGGGGAGCAGCAAGCAAAACAGGAGAGGTCTGCTGTGCATGTGAGTCACCTCCCAGGCCAGGGATGAACTTGTGCTGCAGTGACTGCAGACAGCCTCATAGCACTGCACTTTAACCCTTTGCCACCAGGGAGGCCTCTGTCATAGAAAGCTTATTTTTTATCTAATTTAACCTTCTAAGAAAGGTGGTATTATTTTCTTTTCTTTTTTTTTTTTTTTTAACAGTTTGTTTGAATCAGGATACAAATTAGGTCCACGCATTGCAGTTGTCTCTTAGTGACTTAAAATCCAGAGGTTTCCTTTCCATCTCTTGTTTCTTGTTATTTATTTGTTGAGCCAGCTCTTTTATCCCTGTGGCTTGAATTTTCTTTTATCGCCTCCAAATGGTGTAGTTTGTCATGTTTTCTGTCTATTTTTATGTCCTATAAATTGCTAGCCAGAGTTTTGCTCTTCTGATTCAAGGTTTTATTCTTGCTGTGGTTTTCCATGACTGCTTCCTAGGTGATGCTACCTTGAGCCATTAGGAGGTGCATGCTGTTTGGATAGCAGTCCTTGGATAGTAGAGCTCTGTTGTGGATACCGAATTCTTTGTAGTATCTTTTCACTTCTGCTGCGTATCCAGCTTGTCTGTACTTCATCGTCACCACAAAAAGTACTGTAGTGATGTACTCATACCCATCAATATAGATATGAAAACTGTAGAAAAAGGAGCCCACAAGAGGGTTGCTGGGTCATATGGCAATTTTAAGCTTAATTTGCCAAATATTACCATCACTCCCAAAATGCCAGTACGTTATATTTGCTTTTTTTATGTACTTATCTGTATTTCCATTACCAGTGCCCATTTCCTTACATCCCTGAAAATTTCACATTATAATTTTTGCCAGTCTAATAGGAATAAACACCATATCTTTGTTTAGTTTGTATTTTATGTTTATAAATAAGCTTAGAATTCTTACTATGTCATTGCTTCCTTTTTAGATTTCATCTTTTGTTAATGCTTTTTAGATTCTGCCCAGTTAATAATGATAGCTGTATCTTTTTCCTAATGACCTGCCTATTTTAGATGTAAGTTCCTTGTTGATTTAAAATTTTCTGAATATCCCTATTCTTCCACCTGCCTTTTAATTTTGTTCATGGGTTATTTAATAATCAACCCTCTGGTCTTTTATATTTATGTTTGCAACCCCCTGGAATCTATCCACTAAATAAACTAGTACCATTTACTAAACCATCCATAGCATTTTGATTCATAGTTTATTGCATATTGAGTTTCTGTGTCTTAACTTTTTATTCTCTGTCCTCTTTGTTCTTAAACTTATACTACACAGTTTTACTACTCTGGATATGCAGTTTGTCTTAATATCTGACATGGCAAAAGCCTCCTTTTTCATATTTATGAAGATAAATTAACATTCTAAGGACTTTTATTCATCTGTGTAAACTTTAGTTTCTTAAATTTCTAAAAAATTCAGCCAGAATTCTGATTGTATTAAATCTATAGATTAATGTGGGATGAATTGACAGCATAGACTATCTCTCCTTGTGTTCAAATCATCTGTGTCCACATTAGATTAAAAGTTATGTTTTCTGGACCCTCCCTGGTGGCACAGCGGGTTAAAGCACAGCACCAGGAAGCTAAAGCCACTTCAGCATGAGTTCAATCCCCTGTCCAGGAGGTGACCCACATGGTTCAGCAGACCTCTCCTGACCTGCCCGCTGCTCCCCTCAGCATTGTTCTTCATCAGTTGGCCTATTCTGCTCCCCACTCTGTCTCTAGTGAAGCTTCTCACCACTTCTGCACCTCTGGCCTATACCCCAGTTCTGTATGCATAAATAAATAAATCTTTTTTAAAAATAAATTAATTAAATTAAAAAGTTACATTTTCTTTTCCCATAGAGGTCTTGGCCTGCCTGATTTATTCCCAGATAATTTAAAATTTTAATAGCTACTATGAATGTTATTTACCACATTTTTAAAACTTTTGCAGTATTTGTAGATTTACACCTTGTAAGAAATAATAAAGAAAGCATTGCTATTTCACTGTTTTCCCTAGTGAGAAAACCTTACAAAACTGTAGTATAATATCATCACCAGAAAACTGACATTAATGAAGTCTAAGGACAGAGCAATTCCGGCATCATAAGGACACACCAGTTGTCCTTTTGTAGCACTGCCTTCTCCCCCTGGCTCACTATCCCTTGGCAAAAACTAATCTGTCACTGTAATGTTGTCATTTCAAGTATGTCTATTAAATGGTATCACACAGTACATAAAATTTGGCAATTATTGTTATTTCCTCCACATATTTCTCTGTAGAGTCATTCAGGATATTTTGTGTAGCAGTAGTTACTTATTTTGGTTACTGAATAGTAAGTAGTCCATGGCATGGATGTATCCAGTCTGTTTAACCATTCACCTGTTGAAGGACATCTGGGTTGTTTCTGGTTTTTGGCTATTGCAAATAAAGCCACTATAAACATTTTTATACAGGTTTTTATATGAACATGTTTTTATTTCTCTGGGATTAATGCCCAGGAGTGTAACTGCTGGATTGAATTATATGGTAGTTGCACATTTTGTTTTTGTTTGTTTGTTTTAAGCTACCATCATTTTCCACAGTGGCTATACCATGCTTTATTACCAGAAGCAGTGTATAAGTCATCCAGTTTCTGGGCATCTTCACCAGACGTTAGTGTTAATTCTACATTTTTTTTAAAAAGCCATTTTGATAGGATACACAGAGGTATAATATCTGTAGAGCAGAGTTGGCATTGTCTGTTAAAGGTTGACATTTCTGTATATCTAGAAATTGATCTTCAAAGTATACTAGTTCACATGTTATATAAGAACAACATTATATAGACGTGTGTGAATGTTTATTTGTATATGTCAGTAAGGGTGGGGAAGCTGGTTAAATAAATTTTTATGACATACCAATATAATGGGAGACTGTGCAGCTGTAAGAAAGAATGAGGAAGCTCTTTATGTATCGACTACAGGAAAGCTCTAGGACTTTTAAGTTTAGAAAAGTAAGTTTCACTAAATAGTTATAATATGCTACCATTTGTAAAAGAGGTTGGAAAGATTATGTTTGTCAGGGAAAGTATTGGCTTCTATATTTTGAAATATTTCTGAGAAATTACCCCAGAAAATGTTAAGATTGGTAATTATGGGAAGAGGAGAATAAGAAATAAAAGGGAGCTGTTTCCCATATGCATTTATCTTTTTGGGGTTTTGACACAATTCAATTGTATTGACTATTAAACATATTTATTAATATAAGCTTTAATAATAATAATAATTTAAATTACTCTCTGAAAATAAAGTAGCAAATTAGATTTCTTTTAACCTTTGGGGTTTTTTCCCCCTACCTTTTTCATAAGGAAAAAGAGTAATTTATATTTTGAAATAAGAGCTTTTTTTTTAGCTGAACCAGCCTTCTCATTCTAAGAAATAATTTTGGTAATTCCCTTATATTATAAACATTGACAATTTTAAATAGTATAAACATGAAAGATATCCTTATAAATATAAAAATTTAAAGAATTTTCAAGTCATTAACAAACTGACATATATTTTTGATTTCTGATTCAGGTGTTGTATTTTCCAAATAATCTATATTTTTCATGTGTAAGAATTTAGATTCTCTTAACTGTTGAATTTGTAATTATGTTTTCTTTGATTTTACAGCAACTTGAGATTTTTGATGATTGCTTTAGCATATGCCATACCACTTGGTGTATTTGCAGGCTGGTCTGGAGTTCTGGACTTAATTTTAACACCAGTACAAGTTAGCCAAGTAAGCATTTTATTTCCTTATATGTTGTATGTATGCTTAGTTGACTTAAATTACAAATATTATGTTCATGTCAAGGCCTGGGAAAAACATTATCCTTTACCATTGTCGCAAAAGCAAGATCTTCTTGAAATAGTTGTAAGCAATATTGATTTTCTTCCTAGATTTTAATAATAGACATGAAGTTCATATTTCTTTGAATGTATTAATGATGCAAATAAAAAAATCTTAGTTTTCATACTCTGTAAATGCTAGGTTGTTTCCATAACTTAGCTATTGTAAATAGTTCTGCAGTGAACATAGGAACGCGTATATCCCTTTGAATTCATGTTTTTGCATTCTTTGGGTATTCATATACCTCTTAAATTGCAACTTGATAATCTTGGGTTAAGTGTGTCTGCCACTTTCTCAACAGGTCGATGCTGGCTGGATTGGATTTTGGTCCATAGTTGGAGGCTGTGTTGTTGGAATAGCTATAGCAAGGTAAGAATATTTTGTGGTAAACATGTGAGTAGATAGTACCAATAGAAAAAGAAAGCCTTGGATCAATGATAAAACTCATAGAAAAATAAAACTGGCAAAGCTCTGAAAAGAGCATGTGTTTGGACTACAAGAAGGTTTATTCCTCGGGAGAAGTCCGTCGTAAAATAATTTTGGAGGTCAGAGGTGTATTAATATTAAGCCAGAATATTAAGCTGCCTCCATGTTGTTAGAAAACCACATATACAAATGGAACCCCCCAAAAAGATAATGCACTGTTAAAGGCAAATTGATTCTAAGAATTGAAAGGAATCATTTGTAAGAACTTCTCTAAAACTTCCCATGAAAAAGCATATCCTGGGCCCTCCCTGGTGGCGCAGCAGGTTAAAGCACTGCACTAAGAAGCTTAAGCCACTTCCACATGAGTTCGATCCCCACCTTCCCCGGAGGAGATCCACATGGCATGGCAGACCTCTCCTGACCCGCCCGCTGCTCCCCTCAGCAGTGTACTTCGTCGATCTGCCTGTTCTGCTCCCCACTCTGTCCCTGGTGAATCCTCTCACCCTCCACATCTCTGGCCTGTACCCCAGTTCTGTATAAATAAATAAATCTTTTTAAAAGAAAAGAAAAAGCATATTCTAATTAACAGATATTTATTCTTGGTCTTTTTTAGCAGAAATGTATTTATAACTTATTTGATAAAAAATGTGCATAAAGATTTCCAGTTTCATCAAACTTCCTTTAATCTGAACCTGTTAACAACAACACATTTTTAGAATAAGTCAAAAGAAAAGTCTTATTTATTCTAATAGGAAGAAGTGAAAATGTCACTTAGTTAAGTGATTGCCTATAAAGCTACTTTTGTTTTTTCCAAAAAGATAATGTTCATTAACTTTGCAAACCATTTTACCCTGTTTAATCAAAAACAAAATTAGGCAATAAACTTCATTGGGAAGAAGAGTCTAATTACATATTTGGGAAGATCAAATAAGACAGTTAAGTCACCTCAGTATCTAAATACTTAAACACAATTGGCATAGGGTCATATTATATCTAGATCTCATAGTTTGCATAATGTTTTTAGGATAATGAAAAAATAAACTGACATGATTTCCATATCAGTTTGAGGTTTTTATACGTCAGGCAAATACAAGGGTTAAAATCTAAAGAAAAACAGGAAAATAACTATTTGTAAAAAAATCACTGCACTGACACTGGAATACATTGAACCTGCCTTATTTGACAAGAATTCAAACCTAATTTTTTTCATTAAATCTCCAAGGCAATTATAGTGAGTCATTATTTTACCAAATCCTATTCTGAACCCCAAATAGATCATAGAAGGAACTGTTAATATCAGAAATGACATCTCACATGCTTTTTTATCTTTATTTTCTTTCTGCAAACCCTACATTAACTATCAAAATGGAACTAGTGGGAAAAATTATAACTGAGGACATTTCTGTTTTTAATTTGTTGAAACGGCAGTTCTGAAAAATACTGGACTTACTCTGGGATCTGAAAATCAGTTTTTGGTATCTACTTGACCTAAAATCAGTTTTGAAATTGTTTTCATAACACCATTTGTGGGCTCTCTAGAAGGGAATATCTTCATAGAAATGAGTGCATTGGGTGATTTTCTTATAATTGTGTTGCTAATGGTCATTACTAAATGCATCACATAAGTCCTAATGATATAGTTTGATTTGGAAGAACTAGTTTTCTGAGAATAGGAGGCCACAGTGGTTACTTTATTCTTGAGTGATCTGACCCAGGAAAACATCCTCACTGTTTAACTTCTCTCAATTCAATTGTACCAGAAAACTTTTATTTCCTCATACCTGGCCATCTACCTAATCTGACAAGTTCACACAGCATACAATATAAATTAAATTAAATATAAGTTAAATTAAATTAAATTAAAGCAAGATTTTGGAATAACCTTGAGGGATATTTCTATCAAGCTGTAGAACCTTTTTCAGAGTAATTAAGAATTTTCTGCTTGTGTGCTTTTTTAGATGTGAACAAACCTGTCACTGAGCCAAGGTGTAGCCTTTTTTCCCACCAAAAGATGGCATCAGCTCTCACAGAAAATCACTGTGGTCTAAATAATGCTCACAAACATCATTAACTATACTGTGTCAATTAAGTGCAAAACAGAAGTAGTACTAAAGGTCATATAACTAAAATAGAAGTTAAAATCAATTTTTAAAACTTCAAAGAAAGAACCTGGTAAATGTATTTAGGATGAGATCAGTTTTTCTCGAATAGGAATAGTTCTGAAGGACAGAATAGTAAGTCGGCGTAGGCACCGCCAGAGGCGTCTGCCCAACAACCAGCATTAATCAGTAGATGTCAATTCAGCAAAAAGCAAGGATTTTGAGAACTTAAAAAAATGCTATGAAACATTAGTCACAAATTTTGTAGGACAGTATTCACTATTCCAGAGCTGTGTTCTTAACTGTCACAAAGCTTATATTCTGATAAGGAAAACAGAAAATACGCAAATACAAAAACAGGATTATTCCAGTAGAGAATAATGGTATGAAGAAAATTAAGTGTGTGAAGTGAATACCAAGAGATTTGTTGGACAGAGGCCTGAGTGATTTCAGGAATAAGCAGGAATAAGTCACGGGGAAATGTGGAGCACCTGTGTTCAAGTCACACAGGGCAGGTCCAAAAGCTACACAATGCTAAGAGATACAACCCTGGCACATTTGAGAAGCACAAACAGGGCTGTCCCACGGGAGAAGGGAAGGACAAATTAGAGCAGAGCAGACAGGCCCTCAGAGACTGGAGTAAGCATCTGTATTTGTTCTCAAGTGAGTTTGAATTTGAGAGAACCACCTTTGCAAATTTGTGTCAGCGCATTAGTCTGTAATATACTAAGTTTAATAAAGAGTGTGTGCTCATGGGACCTCCCTGGTGGCGCAGGCGTTAAAGTTAGCGCTATCAGGCTATCTTTCGCCAGCCACTACAACATGAGTTCGATCCCCAGTGCCTGTATCAGTGCCTGGTACAGCAGACTTGTGCCATGTCTCCTGTCTCACCTCCTGTTCCCCTCAGCCATGTATTTCGGTCAATCTGCCTGTTCTGCTCCCCACTCTGTCTCTGACCCACCCCACACTTCTGACCTAGATCTCAGTTCTTGTATGCATAAATAAATAAAAAATAAGCCTTCAAAAAAAAAAAGAGTAGGTGCTCACTATACGACATTTAAAGTTATACAAAAATAGCATTTAAAAACTCAGTATCCACATTTGGTCTGTTTTGCAAAAGAAAGAAATCACTTATCACAAAGTAACATTTACCACACTAACAGGAAATATACCTTTTTTCCTTACTTGAAAAACGTGCTTTCTTTAAGAAATTATTGTTTAACAAAAGTGTGTCATTGATTTTAATAATGTTTTACAAATCTGACTAGAGTTAATCGAATATTGTTTCTTTTCAGATTTGCAGATTTTATCAGGGGAATGCTGAAATTAATTCTTCTCCTCCTATTTTCTGGGGCTACACTCTCATCCACGTGGTTCACCCTGACCTGTCTGAACAGCATTACACATCTGCCTTTAACCACAGGTGAACACAAACCCATCTTGAACTTCTAACAAATATTTCAGTTCACAGGGATATATATTCTCTTTTTCCTGCTTTCCGTAAGTATTTGCTAAACAGATACAAAAATGTCTCCCTTGTCCAGCCATCAGACCAACACCCCATCTAAAAATAAAAACTAAATTAAGAAATAACTAGAAATATTCTCATTAGTATTTTACATATGGGAAAGACATGAAGTCTTTAACTTAAGTGACATGAAAAACTTTTATTTTCTTTCAAAACTCTTACCGAGCATAATTCAAAGATTTTATCTTTGTTATAGCCATTACATCATTGTTAAGCAGTAAGGGTAATAAACAAAGGCAGAAAGCTATGATGGTTGAGTACACACCAGAAGAAGTCTTTGAACTGGCACTTATAGGTTGTTTTACAACAAAACTTAATGGAAATATCTATTTGGAGTATATTATAGATAACTTACTTAACTCAGCTAATTCATCTGAAACATTTATAGTTTGCTTTTATTTTATTGTTAGTGTCATTTGGGAGTCTATATTAGTTATCTATACCTGTCGTAATAAGTTACCATAAATTTAGTATTTTAATACAGTATAATTTTTTTATCTTACATTTTTGCAAGGTAGAATTCCAATTCAGGCCCCACTAATCTAAAATTCAGGTGGACAGACTCTAGAGGGGAATCCAGTTCCTTGCTTTTTCAAACTTCAAGAGGCCACCTGCATTTCTTGACTCATGGCTTCTCTCTCCCAGCATTAAAGACAGCAATAACAGGTCAAATCCTCCTCACATTACTCCATCTGTGCCTTTCTTTGTATGTGACTTCCTCCTTTGAATTCTCATCTTCTCCATTCCTCTACCACCGTTAAGGATCCTTGTGATCACATTAAGTCCATCTCAATAATCCAGAATAACCTCCCAATTTTAAAGACAGCTGATTAACAACCTTAGTTCCACCTGCAACTTTAATCCTTTTCACCATAAGGTAACACTCACAGTTCTTGGGTTTAATACATGAATATCATCTGGAGACAGGTGGAGTTGGGGGGACATTATTTTGCCTACTATAGGATCTTTGAAAAATTACTGTGACAGATTTTATAAACCAAGAAAGCTGTTATTGCTTCTTCCTTTCCTTTAACAAGGACACCTATTTTTTATTCTGTTCACAAGTAATATTCAACAGCCTTTTGCATTATGTGTTTAATGATAAGATTGTAGGGGCATGTGTTATAATAAGCACTTGTGTGGATAAGAATAAACACATACACTCCATGGGACTCCATGAGAGGAGAGTTCCTTTAATCTACATATAGTTAAAGAATACTGAAATACTGTATATCCCACTTTGGAATTACATACGCCATAATAAAAATACTAGTAGCTTACACACCAAGTCTTTCAAAAACAGCCATTTATTTGGAAGTTCTTGTCACATTTACAGCAATAATTAGGCAGTAATATAAGGTCTATCTGTGCCCACCATTTCTAAACTTTACCAAGTCATCCATGCTGGAGTGCCATAGCAAATTCACAAAGGCAACCCAGGTTATTTTAAATTCCCTAAGGAAACATGGGGATCTTCAACATCTGTCAGACACTGTGAATCCCCAATTTAAGGGAATTTACAATTTCATCACTAGATTCTGCTTTTTGGTGCTGTCACATTTTTTGGAAGTGAGATTTTCTGCAGTTGCTGTGATTAAAAAAAACAAATACCACACAAAATCAGTGTGGAACAGGAAATGTGGGTGGTTGTGTCAGGTCAGTTCCAAGATTTGAGAAATTGTGCTGTGCTCATGAGATGCACACTTCCTATTAGTATGTAATTGTGGTTATTGAAGAGGAAAGTAAAAACAGTTCCTCTCGCATATAGGTAATATGTTTTATATAACTGCTGAATCAGTAAGCATGTATTCACGTAGAAGTATACATGTTCATAGAGAGAATTGTTTGGCCCTGTGTCAGTAGCGGAATTGTTAGCTATTTGACTTGAGGACACCATGAAAAATTAACTGAGACACCAAGGGCATGGAGAAGGAAGGTTTAGAGGTCTCTGCTCAGTACTGCCTGCCAGGAGACCCTCTCTGTGATGTTTATTGCTTTGCCTATATAGTCCATTTGTCCAGAGTAATGCTTTTTGGATACTGTGTACTTTTTATGTACTAACATTTCTATTGTAGGGTTTCGAGCAATTTTGGTGAGTTTTGTGACCCAGAATTTAAAATATTTTATTCTGGTATAATATCATAACTTAGCAATTATACAGCATTCTGTGTGGAACAGTTTTAGTTTCAACTCGTCTTATTCATGGCATTACACTCAGATTTTTTGTTACTGTATGTCAAGTATGCATCTGTTAGATTTTATAAGAACATAGCCATGAGTACACCAAACAGATTTCTTTCCCTTGAATTAAGTATAGAATATTCATTATAAGCTACTACATTAATTACGTTTTATATATTTTCTATTTAACAAAATAAAATTAACAGTTTTATCTCTGGATGAAGACATTAGTAATGTGTTTAATATTTTTCCTTACCTCTTTTTTGTCTGAATTTATATGATGAACATGTTTTACTTGTATAGCCAGAAAAAAGTGTATTTATTTGAAAACTATGCATCTTTTTAAACCTTAAAAGAAAATTGTCTTATTTGACCCTTGTTTTCCCAACCTGTCCTTGAAAATAATTATTTGGACACTAGGAAAAGTAGAATTCTAAATTAAATGAAATTGAAAGGTTATGTGTGATCATTTTAACAACCACTGAATTTAAAAATTCTATTGTTTTCAATTGCAAGTCAGTTTTCAAATGTTAGCTAGAAACTACTAAAAGATGCATTTTTTAACTTAAAAATATACTGAATTAAGGACAAAATTTGTTCACATTTTCCTGAATTTACATAGTATGTTTTTTTCCCTCTTTTTATCCTTTAAATGTTACTTGATTATATACTTTACCTCTCTGACCAGTGTGAAAATCTGGAATATGGGAGTTGTGTCTTATAAATCCTGACCCCAGCTTCCACCCCAGTAACTAGCATATGCCCTGAATAATGAATGGATGAGTACGTACGTGAATGAATGAAGTGTATGATATCTCTATTTTTAATCTCACTATGAATTATTGCCAGTTCTAGTCAGCAACTAGGCTCTTCCATACTAGCTACAGGAAAGCAAAAGGGCATATTTTAATGTAACAATGAAGAATTAAAATGATTCTGTTATAGATACTGTTACTGACTTTGTAAAAATTTGACCTAGTTCCTTTTAGTAAAAGGTTTCCTAGAAAGAAACTTACTGTCAAATCTCATTATCGATAAATCTAGGCCTTTAGGCTAGTATTTAAAATCAGTAATAGCAAATTTACGTTCCTTTTTTGAAAGAATCATTTTTTAAAAAGTGTCCTTTGCACCCATCACCAGGTACCCACAGTCCTCTACCATAGCCCACAGAGCACACCCCCTCCACTCTGCTTGCAATTCCCCACCAGCCCCCCTCTGGTGGCCTCAGTTCTACAGGCAGATTTATTTCTCAGGTTTGTCTTTTTTCCCGTTTCTAACAGTATTTCTATTACTGCTTTTTATATATCAGAAGAAACTGCATGAAAAGGATATGAAAATATATGCATATTTTGACACAACAAATTAAAATCTGGTTAATTCTGTTCGACCTACTTGTTAGAAGTGCTACTATGTAAAACCTTCTGTTGCCGTCTCAGTTTGTTGCTGATGACTTGGTATTATTGCCATTGCTCTAGAATAAAAACTGTGTCAGTCCATCCCACCTAGAGGCAGGCTGCCTTGATGTATGTGCTTGCTTATATCCATCCTTTAGACTGTCAGCAGTATGCTTTCATTTCCTCAGGGAAGCGCAATGTTTTTAATCCTATTATATCTTCATTAGCTGGAGTAGCTACGTGGGACAAGTAAATAAACTCGTGACTAGCTAATGAGAGTTTCAAAATCTTGAAGCTTATTCTATAAATAGAATTATCAAAATACATTTTTCACTTTATCTGAGAACTGGAAGACTAGCCCTGTTGGCAACAGCTCATAGACAGCTAAACACTTTAAAAATGGCTTTTGGAAAAATATTAGCACTTTGGTGTTGAATTTGCTGAAACAATATAATTTGACTGTTCAAGATAACTTGATTTGGGAGAGGTTCTTCATCTAATTCAACTTACTAGAATGTCGTGATGGTGATGTCAGAAACAGTAGGTGGGTGTTGAGGTGGGTGATTAGCCTGACACAGCCCTGAGAGGCTGACTTCAATCAAATTGGGGGAAAAAAGACTTGGTTATATTGAAAAGCACATGAAGTGTATAGTAGTTGAGGGCATAGGGTATAAAAGAGTATAGTAAAGGGTAACCCCCTGATATATTTCCATGCATTTTGCCTTTGTTAAGATACTTATATTCCATTTTAATAGCACGCAAAGAAATAAAAACATACACTTGCCTAGAAATGGTGGTGGGATTTAAAAAAATCAAAAGTGATGACTATGACTAAAGAAATAACACTTAAGGATAGGAATTTTAAGCTTCAAGGGAAAAAGGCTATGTAAAAACTATTCAATTTTGAGTTAAAAGTGACTTGCTTATTTGCATGGCTGTCTGTTAAAGAAGGAAAAAATAAAACATGGATTAAAAGAATAAATGGATTTGTGAAAAACCTTAAATGTAGGAATCATGAAATGTTCACAGGGCAACCTGACGAACATCAGGTGCTATTTAGCTAGCCATGGATACTTCCAAGAAGAAAAAGAAGTCTTCAAGCAGAATGTGTTTCTTTAAGGTGGAGAGCTTGATGAGGCTGGTGGTCAGTGCTCTATGATGAATAAAAAAGCTTAAAGATTACTGATAAACCTCTACTTAAAGATATCTGATTTTACAGCCAGTCTCCACTCTGGGCCCCACTATTTCAAAGGATTATTAGTTGTTCTTCATTTCTGTTCAATAATTACTTTGCCATACAGCCATAAGGGACTCTAAATA